ATCAGGTGCTCGGGTCGATGAGCTGACAACGGTCCTATGGGCCTATAGGACGACCCCAAGAAACTCAATAGGCCAGTCACCATTTCACATGGTTTACGGAATGGACGCACTCCTGCCTGTCGAGGTAGGCTTAGATTCTCACAGGTCGACATTTTATGAGGAAAAGAAGAACGAGGAAATGATCAAAGAGGCCCTCGATATGATAGAAGAAGGGCGTGAGGAAGCCTGGGCACGATCCATGGAATACAAGCAGATGATGCGTGCAGCCTTCGACAGGAAAGTCCGCACCAGACGATTTCAGGTGGGAGATCTCGTCCTCAAACGAGCAGATGCTCTTAAACATGTCGGGAAGCTTGAAGCTAATTGTGAAGGACCTTACACCATCACCAAAGTACTCGAAAGAGGGGCATATGAACTCGAGGATGGCGAAGGACGACAGCTTCCGTGATCTTGGCACATGATCCATCTCAAACGCTTTTATGCCTAAAAATAGCATTTTGAACTCTCTTGTATTGAACAATGCTTAGTCAAATTCAGTAATGCAACGATCCCAAGATTATGTTTAAGTTGTGTTTTTTACATTTCAATGTCAATTTTATTATAACTACTTGAACAATCGGATCTTTCGGAACGGCTATAAAGCCGATTAACTCCTACGACTACAAAGTCGATTGGAACAACTACAAAGTTGTATGCCTCAAGAGAAATCTCGGCAGGGCTACGAAGCCCACGACTACAAAGTCGATTGGAACAACTACAAAGTTGTATGCCTCGAGCGAAATCTCGGCAGGGCTACGAAGCCCAAGACTACAAAGTCGATTCGAACAACTGCAAAGTTGTATGCCTCGAGCGAAATCTCGGCAGGGCTACGAAGCCCACGACTACAAAGTCGATTCGAACAACTGCAAAGTTGTATGCCTCGAGCGAAATCTCGGCAGGGCTACGAAGCCCACGACTACAAAGTCGATTCGAACAACTACAAAGTTGTATGTCTCGAGTAAAATCTCGTCAAGGCTATGAAGCCTACGGCTATAAAGTCATTTTAACTGCAAAGTGCCAACGAATTAAGTGTCGATAAATTTACGACTACGAAGTTATAACAAATGAAGTATCGATGAATTCATGATTAAAACCAATTTAAATTGCGAAGTCGTGAGTACATGAATTCGAGCAAAAGAAAACAAAAGATAATATTCAAAGAAAGGTTCATTACAAGAATCATCTCGACCTTTACAATCTGAGAACTAAGTCGAGACAAGAACAAACAATAAAAACAAGCGACAGAAAAGAAAATTACAAAGAATAAAAGACGACAGGCCTAGAGCTACGATTCTAAGAGCCACTATCCTCGTCAATAGTGGTTGCCACCTGACCTTCCTCACGACTAGGCCCGACCGGCTGGATCAGAGAAGTTGAGGGAGCCTCGAGGCGGGAAGAAAGCTTGGCAGCTTGAATGGCTTTAGCCTCCAGGCCAACCCACCATTGGTAATCGCCCGGGAGGGAGGGGTCACCCTCATAACCTTCAGGGTCAGGGAGCGCCATCCTCATCGCTTCGCGGTCGAGCCTACCCGCAAATTCAGATCCCGCCACCACCGCCTCCCAGGCGTCAAAAGTATGATCAAAATATTGAACGGCGGCGGGACAAAGTTTGTAGAGAAAGTCGGGCGAATTACAGAAGGCCTTGACTGTAACACCCCACCTTACTGTAAAATCAGAGTAGCGCAATAATTCACAAAGTCTGTAAAAATAAAACCTTTTTACTTCGCGAAAACTGATTTGGGGTGCTACCGTGAAAAATCTTTACATAACTTAGAAAAACTGTTATTTTAATGTCCGGTTACTGAAAACTTAATTTCTCAAAAGTTCGTCAAAATGATGCGTTCGTCAAAAGATAACAAAAACATCATCACCAGTCATCAAAAGATAAGCGGAAGCGTAGGTCATAGTTATACAGTCCAAAACATATATATAAATATCCTGAAAGTCCCGTCATGCCCCGTCACGTCACGCTCCCTGCCCGACATCCTGACCTGAAAAACATGATAAAACTGGGGAGTGAGCACTAAGGCACTGTGCTCCGTGGAAACTCATACTAATGTACAACATCGTAAATAATAACATGATCATGAACTGAGTATATACAACTGAACTAAACTGATATCTGATAACTGATAAAAAAACCGGTCTGATCTCGCGACCGAAGTCACGTAACTGATAACTGAATCTCGC